CGATGTAGGTCTTGAAGGTGTCCTCCAAATTTGGGAGGAACCACTCCTTCGCGTTCGCTTGCGGATCTCGCACGGCATCCGTATCGTCCAAATCCGCAATGTTTGCTCCAGGATGGCCATCTTCGGATTGGCTATCCTCCTCTGGTTCGTGGTCTGGTCCGTGGTCCGATTGGTCGAGGTGGTCGACCTCCTCCTCGGCGACCTCCTCATCCTCGAAACCCTCGCTCATTTCTATTCGATCCTCGCTCTTTTCAATTAGATTGTCGTCGGTTTGCTTCTCGGTCGACAATATCATCCACGGTATGTTTTCTTTTTCTTTTTTTTCATCTTTTTTTTCATCTTTTTTTTCTTTTTCGTCTTGTTTTTTTTTCGCCTCTTTCGCCGTCGCGCCAGCCGTCTTCTTTGATGGCATCGAAGTCAAGTCTTCTTTTTTTTCTTTTTCTTCTTTTTTTTGTTTTTTTTGTTTTTCTTCTTTTTCTTCTTTTTTTGCTTTCATGTCTTTCGCCGTCGCGCTAGCGGTCTTCTGTGATCGCTTCGAATCCGAAGATCTCACTGAATTGATCTTTATCCTCATTTCGCTGTCGATATCGGGGGTTTCCAAATGGGGGCTGGCGGTAAAAAGCAACTCTGGCGGGGTGATGATCCAGGGACTTGGTGGATTTGTGCCGAGGGGAGTGGAAGCGGTAGACGGTGGGTTGAACAACGGCCGAGGATGGGGATTGACGCCGGCGTCAACGTTTGATTCCCTGGCGTTGGTTGCACCCGTCGGAAGGATCAATTCGTTGCCTGTCGTCCGAGGTTCTGACATCCTGAGAACGTTTTCTCTTTCTCTGTTTAGGCTGGATGGTGTCGGCGTTTGTCAGGCGTTGAGTTCTCTGTTGTCGGTGATCAAAAAAGGATGGGAGAACTTGAGAAGGCCTGGCATATCACCCATGATATGCCGTGTTTGTCAAATGTTTGTATGAACCTTATATGAAGCTTAATGGATATGTATTGAAAGTTTAATGATAGATTGTAAACTATGTGTTGTAAAATTCTATTACAGGGTGCCAATAAGCTTTTTTACATACGTAGTTTCACAAGAGATTAAGGTTTGCAAGCGTATGTGTTGTAAAATTCTAAATTTAAGCTTTGATATACAACTTTACAACCTAGTCATGCAAGACTTGCATGATATAGTTTGTAAAATTACATAATGCCATGTTGTGATACAATTTTAACAAACATATTTTACAAACCAATTTTTTACAAACTTCGAAAATGACAGATGGGTTGTAAAATTATACATTACCCCCATAAAAACGTAATTTTACAAACTATCCGGTTTACAAGACATATGTCTTGTAAAAAATAGTTTGTAAAATTCACTTACCCCTTAGAAAACTCCAATTGAAACAAGTTATGCAAATAAAAGCATTCAAGAGCTTTGTTCCTGCATGATTTCCTATTCAGATCAACGTCTGCCACTTTTTTCCAGCACTTCCTTGAAGTTACTCCAATGAGTTTTACCCCAAATGCTAAAAATTCTGATTTATTTCAACAAAGCTTTCCAGCCCTAGCTCCTTTTTTGTTCTCATTGTTCTGGCCATTTGATTGCACATATTCCACTCATGTGTGGGACGTGGGTTGTATCCCAGTTATCACCTCCCAACATTCCAGCTCCACATTTTTCCTTTCATAACCCACTGCACACATTGGCTCAACTCTAAGATCATCCCTACCTCATGGATACAGTAAACCTTGGAGACACTCTAGTGCATTTGAAGCTAATTTGTCATCAAAAACTTTGCTGACAATGTAACTCATAGGTGGATGTTTCAAAGATAACTCAATTATAGTAAGTCAGATTCAACTGTGAATCACAGGTCCAAAAATCCCCCCCCCAGAAATCTCAGGTTCATTCTCATTTTTTTTTCCCACTTCTAATGACAGTCTCATTATATGTACTTATGATTGCTCACTTCTTGACTTCATCTGATTAGTATTTTAGGAATGGTCTATTAGGGGCCCGGGGGGTTCATAATTAAAATTTATCTAGTCTGTTTAGTCAATTTTAAGGTTTTTAACAGCAACATTTTAAAATTTTGACAAGATGCACAGATTTCAGGGCTTCTGAACAATCAGAGCAACTTTTTCACCTTTCAAAAATTTATTGAGAAACAGCTTAAAATGGACTTTAAAAATCTAACAAGCTGAATCATGAACCCCGCGAATATCAAATTGAAATGTCCACAATTTTTAAAGCCAATTTTACGGCTTTTATCAACAACATTACAAAAAAAAAAATAGCTGGGAAGAGTTGAGGGTTTCTGATCAATCCTCACAACTTTACAATTTTTGAAAACCTAGCAGATAAAAACAGCTTAAAAATGGGGATTAAAATTTGGGAAATTTCAACCATGAACCAGGCTATATGATGATTGATGGAACCCAATCTCCCTTCTTTGACAACTTTGTTTCTTCATCAACCCCCAAGTGGAATCCACATTGAGTACCATATGGTCTGTTGGTTTTTAAAAGCCTGTCCAGCCCTGCTTCAAGCAAGGAAAATCAAACCCACAGTCATGAATACAAATATGCACATTAGCTTCCTGTACATCAAAGCTTCATCTCTTCTATTCAACCACTCCCATAAAATGTGCCATCCACCAGAAGACTCCTCCAGCTAGGATTCTGGTGGGCCCCACCATCCATATTTATGTGTATTCTCATGAGCCTTCTGACCTCCAACATCAGCCCTGAGATATGGTAGACCAACCAGGCTTGACATTGATGTCTAAAAACTCACATACTTTTTCTACTGTTTGGCGTTGCATGCTAAGCTCAGAAAAGGCCTACTGCTTTCTGTATATTTTCAGGATCCCTGAATCCTCCAAATGTCTGAGAAGGATGCCTCCGTATTGACAGAATCCTTTCTTCAAAAATAGGCATTAAGACAGGAACCATCAAGCGGTTGATTCAGCTCCCAAACTCGAGCGTATGTAGATGCCACAAAACAAGAAAAGAAAAGTCCAACTGCTGATGATCTGGGGCCTCAGCTTGCTAAGATCAGGAGTCCGAAAAAAAAGGCCACAAAGCGCGATGAATGAGGGCTGCAGAACCCGACGGTTGTTTGGCCAAGAAAGAAAACCTGGATAAAGCGCGCCGATGCTGCACGGTGTGTATACAGTGACTGATGATGCATGATTGATAAACGATGATTATTGCATTACAAATATATATAAATAAAGATATATATATATATGATTGGTTAGTCCTACATTTACCGAAGTTCATTAATAGTTTATACGTATATAAGTTGGTACCGAATTAAGTGATAATCAGTTCCTAGTGGATCCTCCTCCGAAAGAAATCAAAAAAAAAGGGGGGGGGGGGGAGAGAGGATGATGAAGTCAGTGGGCCAAGATGGAGTACGACGAGTTGGTCCGCAGGGTTTGCGGGTAGAGGCTTGATGCCGGTTCCCCTTGGTGAATGTAGGATGACCTTACGCGTCCAGAATCAAGCCCCGGACTCGATGAGGAAGCCTTCGAAGTATTTTTCGACTGTCATCCAACCTTGTTCGCTGAGACTAACGACGGCGCCGACGTAGCCATCCGGCCTGACGACGATGATTCCGCCGCCGCCTTCGCCCTCACCGAAGCCTACAAAGGAGCATCCACCAGATTATTCGATTTGTTTTTGGGGGCGCTTAGGGAGGGCAAATAGATGTGCAAAGGAGAAGATGGGCGCTCACCATACTTGGCATGCAAGGAGCATGTTGTAATGGGCGATCCGACACCAGCCATCGTGTTGGCAATATCATCAACATAGACCTGGGAGGAGTAAGGGCCGGAGAACAAGGGCGGCAAGTCTGCGATATCCCACTCGTCTCTAGAGCGGGAGGTGATGAGCAGGAGGGAGAAGAACGGATTTGGGCCAGGACGTTGGGGGTCGAAACGGGAACAAGGACGGCCGTTAGCGGGCCGGAACCTGTTCAAGAAGCACCGGCTCCCATCGAGATGGTTCAAGCGTGTGCCGGCGGACAGAGCGCCGAGGAAGATGTAGATCCGGAACGCGCCATCCATCCTGATCTCTTGCTCGATCCGCACCGGGTTCCCGTCGATCACTCGGATCGCATCCCCCGTCAATAGTCTTTCACCCGCACGGATCCCGCCCTCTATCCTGCACTCCTCTCGGCCTTTGAATATCTCCGAATCGGCTTGAGCGTTGAACACGTTCGAAGGGTAGACCGCCCCACAGCCCGAGGTGAAATAAGCATCTGTCAACAATTCGTACAGTTGCGTCCACAGGTTCGATCAGCTCTCTCCGACAAGGTGATGTTGAAAAAGAAAAGATGCAGTCAACTTACTTTGCTTGAAGAGCTCAATAAACCGTTGAGGATCTACCTCGAAGCCATTCGCTGTCTGAGTTTTGTCCAGATTCTCAATTTTGGCTCCTCGCCCAGAGAACAGTTTACTATATTCGGCGTCGAAACTCATCAGTTCTTGAGCGATCCCTCGACGTTCTTGCTCATACGTCTCCATGATGGTCTCTCTCTTCCCGATACCCTTCTCGACCAAGTTGATCTTCCATGCTAGCGAAAACATGTCCAGCATCGAAATGTTCATCTAGGGTGTGTAGGGTCCATCAAGACAAAGAGATCAGCCCGGAAGGGTCCATCTTGTGCGGTTCTTCAATCGCGTCAAGCACTCCTACTAGAGAGCTTACACCTTGGCCAGCCTTGGGACTATGAGTATGCACCGCATCTCCACCCAGAATAATCCGACCGTCCAAAGTATCTTAAATGATGACGAGTGAACACGCATTAGATATCAATGTTCGTGCAAAGTAGCTCTGAGAGAACGGAGATGAGTCTCGTACATGTGTTGGCCAATCGTTGGCCGATTTTATAGATGCTGAACCAATCGGTATCGCCAAAGGTTAAGGTGTACGGATGGAAGATTTTGCGTGCTTGTTCTTGACAGATAGCCAGCGTAGCGGTGTTTCTCGCTGTGTATATGGAATGATCATAGTTCAAAAAAAAAACATCAGATCCCCAATCCCCAAGAGAAACAAACGAAGACAAAAACAGAGACCAAAAAAAGAAGCCGAAGGGGAGGGAGACAAGCAGATCCTTGCAAAAAAATATACTACGAATGTAATGCATTTTGAATCTTACCGGATTCCGAATCCTCGTTGAGCAGTTGGACGTAAAACCTGACCAGGTTATTTTCCCGAGGGATCACCATGATGGAGCCGTCGTGTCTTGAATGAATCAAGCATTTCAGCTTCAAGTCGGCTAGCGTTTTTTTTTTATTAAAGAGCAGTAACAAATGAGCACTTTTTTCGGCATGAATGCAAGAACAGAAGGAGGATGAATGGAGGCACGTACGGAAGTCAGATTGGACCCAACAATCCATGACACCCCATACGATATGAGTTCCCTCGCCCTCCAATCTGATCCCGCCGCCCAAAGACTTCCTGACATCGCTCTTAGCGCCGTCGCAGCCCAGTAGATACTTGGATCGGATCCGCTTCTCCGTGCCGTCTCCCGTCTTGACAATCGCCTCGATCGGATAGTCCGTGGGCTCTTCACCGTCTACGGTCTGACGACAGCTCACGAATTCCACCGGCCTCAACACGCCCGAATTCGGCGCCCGCGCCGATATCTCCGCCAGGAATTCTCGCTCGATTATACCCTGATGTAGAAGCAGCGTATAGCGGTCCCGGACATCAATGAAATCTGGACACGATCTTGCCCGCGAGGTTCTTGCTAAGGGTTTATCAGGGGTTGGATCCTTTTTTTTTTCATACGTCCGAAATTTTGGTTGGTAATCCAAAATGAAAATGTGGCAGTCAGATTGGTGGGATTTTCGACCGAAAGACTATCCAATCACTGACCCAGAAAGAGACCTCGTAAACTCGCACGCCCCGTGCAATCAGATTCTTTGCGATTCCTAGGGTCGAATTTCCGGTCAAATGGTCGACGGGAGGAGGCTCGGGAAAAGAGGGAATCTTTGGAGGGATCCACGGCCCAATATTTCTGAGGACCTAAACTGATTCAATAGAGTATATATCAGAAGAGCGCCCAAAATGCGAAAGAAAAAAAAACGGAATGAGGGAGGGAGGGGGGCGGGGATGATGGATGACCTCTAAAGTCCGTGGCTGGATCCCATCGGCTCTTCCAGCGCTCGTAGGTTCGGGCCGATTGTCGATGTGGAGGACGGAGAGACCAAAGGTGTGGAGACAGAGCGAGGCCATCAATCCGGATGGGCCTGCGCCCACGATCAGCACGTCGGCCGTCTCTGCCGACGGCTTCGATTGCTTGACCATCCAAGCTGGAGCCGAGCAGGAATGCGATGGATCCTACAAAGAAAAACAGCAAGAATCCAAGAGCCAATCTGTCTAGAAATCTGCTGGTGAATGTCGAAGCTCCCGGTGGCCGAGGGGTTTTTTTTTTTTGGGAAAGACTTGGACCGAAATTCAATGGTGCAGCAATGCCTATCGGATTGTTTTTTTTTTTGTGCAAGACGCGGATCTACATACAATCAACAGAGCCCATCATCAGTCAAAAACCGCTTCCTTCAAAGACAGAGAGAGAGAGTCTACAAAGCTGCCGGGACTCGGCCCAGCTATGTATTTATGTACAACAACCCTGAGACGGAAGAATGTAACAATAGGCCGAAGTGGTGCAACTGCTTGGACAAGTGTTTTTCGATTTGTTTTGTTACATTTGTATGAATACATAGATTTTCGGATAACATGTGCAAAAATATTGTACGAACCTTGTAGTCCACAGTTCACTTCCAGTTGAGGGGGTCGGCTAATAAATTGTATGGTTATACAATGTACAATACACAAGAAGAAGCCGAGGCTCCGAGCCGAAATCGAATGGAATTGGATCCGCCTCTCCGAACAGACTTGCTGACAAAACAAAAATGAATTGAAGAAGTGATGTATGCTTTTTTTTTTTCTTGATGGTTGTGTAAATCTGGATGATGATGAGGATGAGGATGAGGATGGAAGGCGGCAGCAAAGAGTTCTTTTGGACGAGGGTGCACCAATTTGTGTGCTCCAAGAAGATGGATACAGATGTAAATATCAAAAGTGGATGGGAGAGGAAGGACGAAGAGGGACGGGAAGCATACAACTCTCTTAAGTCAATCCATGATGGCCATCTGGAGCGAGAGCCGGGATGTTTATATAGACAGAATCCAACACCGCCGACTCGGAATTCGATATGCAGGCGGAATCAAGGTCGCTCGGGAACTGGATGTCTTTTGTTAGAGTTGAGCAGATCTGATGGCGGCGGGGATCCGGGTGGAGTGGACGGAGCAAAACATTTTCCCGGCTCCAGGCCCACCAGCGTTCCTTCCTCATCTTTCACCCGGCGCTAACATCTCCTTAATCTCCCACACACACATTATATGTACAATCTTATCATGCAACACAACTCATTGAGCAAATCTCAAGTTGCTTAAAAATCTTGAAGTCCCCCCCCCCCAATTTTTTTTAAACGGGTGATTAGAATATCCGCTCGATTGCAAGAAGGGAGATGTCTTCAGATCTGCGTGTGCAGGCGCAGTTCCCAATAATGTACAGTGATTCAGCGGAGGTGGTGGATAAGAGAGAGAGACAGATCGCCTATAACTCGGCGAGCGCCCGTGCAGCGAGCTCTGTTGCCCGAGTCGCACGGCGTTCCCATCCCGACATCAAGTAAATAATTGTCAACTGGCTTCAACAATCGAACTTGAATTCGACGGCAAAGCTTTCTCCCGCGGATTAAAATTTAAGGGTGGACATACAAAACCAGTAACCTGGCTCGTTGAATCACATAAACCCATCCGGATCCGGCTCTTTAGCAGAGCCTGCGGATCCAAGTGTTGTATTACCAGTACATGTTGTATGCGGGCTCACATTAACCAAGAAGAGGTCCTTGGAATTTGCCACCAACTTAACACAAGTCACCTTATAGTAGCCTGCGAAGAGGTCTGGCCCCAGTTGCATCGGGAGGCGCAATCTGTGAGACAGAAGACCCTGCGGGGCTGTCCTCCGGGGCTCTCCCTCGAAAGGCTTGTGATAAGGCTGGCCTGATCCACAGGTGGCAAAGTGCTCGCGCCTCTGTTGGCTGTGCTGCCCTCCCTCTGCAGTACATGTCCCTGCTGCTGAGGGCTGTGGCGACTGTCCGCGGGAAGCCTGCAGGCTCGAGCCCGGTATGTTGGCAGATTCGGCATCGGGTTGATGGAACCGCTACCAGTGCTGCTTAAGAAGGGAACTCTTTGGCCCCAGAGTTGCCGCAGAGACTTGCATACATAACACAACACCCATCGGGCCGGGCTATTCATCTCGGCTCTATGGCTTCTCTGATCATCGCCCACTTGAAAGCGCTGGCGCACGTCTTGGGAAGAAGCTTTCAAGGACAGCTCGAGTCTGTACAGTCGACTCCGGCTCAACTCAGCAATCCCCCCCGGTAAGCACATCCAATGTAAATCTTCTCTTCTGAAAATATCTTCAGTGAGGTGGTTCCCAGAGATCCACAGGTTTAGAGTCCTCAAGCTTGCTGCCATCTATACAACATCGGTCGACCAACCGACATTCAACCAGCTTTCTTGCGGGTCTTTCTCGGAGTCGGTCGCATGGGCGTGGATTGAGAGGCTGACAAGCTGATCTATGTTGTATCCGTTAAAGCTAGCAAGATGTAGATTGCATCCTTGTCTTTCCATCATGACTAGATTCGAGAGATACATAGTCTTTAGGACAGCAGACAAGCGCAAGAAAAAAAAAAGATCAAGCGTCGACGTCCACGGGAGACTGGAACGCTTGTTTATCTTAATGATTGGGATGTTAAAGGCTTTGCCCAGAGTGGTTTATATTCCAGATTCCTCCTGAATATCAGGACCACTTGGATGTTTTGTGAAAGGAAAATAGTGCATTTGGTTGGTCGGGGAGAAGCGTTGGAATCTGGCAGGGCACGATAAAGAAGTACAGGTTGGGCAGATGAGAAGAGAATACTTTGGATGGTGCATCTACGAGGCCAAATCTTCAATTCCAGGACTCATCTGGAACTCAACCTGAATTGTTAGCACTTAATGTGTTGTAGTTGTGATCAAACATATGTCTGTGATCAGCAGGGCTACTCTGCATTTATAACATGACCAAGTCCAGGTGACAAATCTTGCCAATAAGTACACGTCATTGAGGCATTGACAGGACAGGCCGGCGCAGCCGCGCTTGAGCGCCTCGTGTACGCAATACAACGCCCGGCAGAGCCGGCTGAGAGCACCAGAGCGACTGCGTGCCCATCGGACTATTTTCGATAGTGAATCCGTTTGAGCGTGAAATGCAGTTGAAGGACCTGTGAACACACCAAGAAGAAAACAAAAAAAGTTGAGTGAGAAGAGATCGATGGCCGATCATCTAATCCGTCGCAGTCACTCACGCCACGATCAAATGAGCTCCGGAAGCCGCGCTTGTGACTGTGCTCCCAATCCTTGTTGACGATCGTGAAGGCAATGTCTTCGTATGGCGGGCCCGCTTTGAATAATAGTGTCGCCACATCCTCGTTCTCCTTGTTTTTGATAATCTTGTAGGTCGGCGCTCGGCTTTTGTCGATCAGATCCGGGTAGAATATGTTGAATTCTAGGAGCAAAAAAAAAAAAAAAAAGGTTGCAAATCAGCATCGTGAAGAAAGTTCAGTTAATAGTGGAAGCGTCATACTATAGCCTTGGACGACCTTTGGAGGAGGGTTATCAGTATTATAATGGGTCTGATTGTATTTATTCCATTCATAACCGGTGTGAACCTTGTTAAAGTATCTCGGTTTACGTGGTCGATATTTGTCTTCCCAATTATAACTCTGTCTGCCCATTTCAGCTTCCAGCTCGAACATTTCTTCCTCCTCACCGAGACCTTTCTCAGCCTCTTGAGCGTACAGCTTCTCAGCCAGCGCGTCCCGATCCAAGATATCCTGATCTTTGGAATCCGAGCCATGCTTAGTCTTGGGAACAAAGCGAGTACTGAGCACCATCTGACGAGCATTGATGATTTGAGCCCAGTCCTCCGCAGCTGAAATCATTTCGAGTTTCTGCTCCTCCAGCGAAAGGTGTTGTACCAACAGAGGCTCCATGGCACTCTCATACTCTTCTGCCACTTCTTCGACCACCACCTGGGCCTCGTCTTCTTCAGCTTCATGGCTATCATAATGCGTATGAGTCGGACGACTAGTACTGGGTTGATTGATCAAACTACTAGCAAGTTCAGCTTGCACCTTGACGGCCTCGTCTCGTTGACGGCGACGGAGATACTCTAGTCTGTTGCGAAGGACGACCTCGTGCATTGCCTTCAACTTGGCCTTCGCCTTCCAAACTTTCAATTGAGCTAGAAGACCTTCCCAATATTCAGGATCGACCGGTTCATTTCCAGCGAGTTTGGTTTCGATATTAGACTCCAATGCGATCAGCTGATCGAAATTCTTTCCTTCTAGTAATCGGGTGATTTGCTCCCGGATCGTTGCTGCAGCCCGGAGAGCGTCGTGTGCTAGGTTTCGTTCGGAGGTAAGTTGAGCAAGCGCATCATCACAGACACACTGTAAGCATCGCCAGAACTCAAGCTTAGATTCCGATTTTTCCAGAGCGATGTGCATCTTGATATCTTCAGCCAGTCCTTGAGTCTCTTCCAGGGTCAGGTTATCGAAGATTGTGTAGGGTTCATCCAAATCGACTTCCATGCCCGCCCCATCATCCTCTTCTTCTGTAGCTTCGTTGATGAGCCCTTGGAGAGTGTTCTTCTTCAGATCCTCTTCAGCCTCGAAGTCACGGTGACCCCACTTGAGGTTCAGGGCGAGAAGATCGATCGGTTTGGCCCTCTTCTCTCGCACTCGAATCTCTGCGCGTTTCTGAGCCTGTTCGAGTTGGAAGTCGTCCTCCTTGGCGATCCATTCGGCCATCTGCGCACTTTCGGCCATCTGAGCCATCCGATTGCTCTCGGCCTCCCGTAGCTCAAGCTCCTTCTCTCTCTCCGCTCGACGACGTGCCAGTCGCTCAAGCTCTTCAGCAGCCTCTGCTCGTCGTTCAGCATCTCGTCTGCTAGCTTCTTCATTACTCAGTCCCATCTTTCTCTCCCGTTCACGCTTCTTTGACCAATCGAACTGGGTCGATAGATTCGCATCGTGGAACGGATTGTCGATTGCTGAATACATCGAAAGCTCGGCAGCCGCTCGTCGATCGGCCTCTTCTCGCATGCTCTTTCGTTCCGATCGACGTTCCAGTTTTCGTGCGGCTTTCTCCGCCGCCTTGCGAGCCTTTCGTTCCTTGGAAGTTTCACGTTTACTCCTGTAGATTTAGGCAGATGTTCAATTGTTTTGGTTTTGTATGTTGGGATGTGAGGGGTAAGTAAAGAGTTTTGTGGAGATGGATGGGCTTACTTGTGAGACGATCGATGTCGATGTTTGCTGGAATGGTGCTCGCTTCTCTCCGAGTCGACTGAATCATCTCTACGAGTACGCCGCCCCCTTTCTGAGTCTGAGGAGATAGGTGAGCGAGATCGACTCCTCTTGCGGGACTTGTGATGGCGGTCATCATCGCGGTAATGACTGGTCGATTCTCGCCCTCGGTGGCGGTCTCTTGAGGAGTCCCTTGGGGGAGATCGCCGATGCCGAGAGTATGATGAGTCCCTGACGGGTGATGAGTCGCGTGGCATGTAGACCGAGATGCTTGGTGAGGATGGAAGATGAGGCTGGGCCTTTCGAAATTTGTGTTTTGTTGCTGTGTTGCTGTGTAATGAAGTCATGAAAACCCAACAACATGTCACAGTCACTGTCCAGTGGTCCACTGTGACTGCCGGCTATGTGCGAGATCTCTCAGACTTTCCCCCGTGGGAGTCCCAAGCAAGGCACGGGTTTACCGTTTCTCTTCTACCAGCAACACCGACAAGAACAACGAACATCCGAAGCAGTCTACATATTTGCTTGAACAAAAACCATCCTCCTCAAATCCCGAAAGTCCTTCAGCTCGACTCGTACCAGGAGCTTGTCAAATGTCGCGTCCGTCACCCCCGGCAACACCTCGTAGAAGCACACGCGCTCGGCCTGGCCCATCCAAACCGCCATCCAAGCCACCAGGCACAAACTGGCCCAATTATCCTTCTGATATCGGCATCAAGAACGGCCCTCTACCACTGCCAAAACTGAAATTTACTCGCACAGGCTCGACAAAAACCAAGAATGTATCAACCAATAATGAGCTGTCATCCAAGCCTTCTGTTAGCTCCAAGTCCAGCGAACTCAGACTCAGGCCGAAAACCACGCGATCGGCTGGTACTGAGCCCCAACAATCTGAATCTAATCATGTTGACAAGATCACCAGAGGAATACAGCAAATTTCGATCGCTCCTAACCTCCCGAAGAAAACCTTGAGGAGCAAGACATCAACTTTGGTCTGCGAGAGCAAACAAGCCTTGCCCCTGGGAGAGCAGATCAACTTGGCAATGAAAACCGTCAACATCTCACTCTCGAAGCTCTCAGCCATCCGCCAAACTGGTTGGAAGGCAGAACCGATTTTCGTTGACCCTAGCAACCATAACTCGAAAATTGCCTCAAAGGAAACAATCCACAGCGTGTCTGATAGTCAATTGGAAGAAGCTCTTGAAGGAATCAATCAGGGTTATCTGGCTACACAAACCTTACGAAAATTGATCTCCAATAGCACTTTTTCTAGCAAATCTTATGATGTTGAGCGGGCCGGACTGGCTTTGGTAAATCACGCAATCGAGCTCAAATTGGTACGCGCCATGCCTGCAGACTTTCAACTTTTCGTATCTACATACTTCAACTCAAATCACTGATTTTCTTCTTTTGCATAGTAGTACAATTCAGCCCTTCGCCTGCTTGAAGTCGCACACTGCTCTCTACAGGCCTTGATATCCCATCCGACTCAAGCCCCACCCCCAACGGCTAGTCCCAAATCCATTAATCCGTCGCCCATCGCCCCTACATCATGGCAATCCTATTCCAAAGTTCTGTCGTTTCTCATCCCCAAAAACCACGATCAAGGGGCTACCCCAAATCTGAATAGTGCAGCCTTATTGGTCCTAACGGCTGTAGCCCAAGGCTTCCAAGCTTTCCTAAACGGAAATATCGGCACAATAGCATCCGTCTCCCGTGGTCCAGTCAGACAAGCATCGTCCTCGGTTGGTGCCGAAAGTACCCAAACGGCCCAGATCCGCGCGGATTGCTGTCTCTGTGCCCTAGAGTCTTCAAACGCTCTGGTTGAATGGATCGTATCACTCGATGACCACTCTAGTTCCCCTCCAGATGAACTCATCATCAAGAAGATATTAGGGGCTGTACAAGCTTGCTATTCTGCGACAGTAAAGGCTTGCTCGTCGTGGGAAGATTTATTGGGTAGGCTCCTTAATCGACTCAGTTAATATCGGTTTTAGAAATGATTAGTTTTTTTTTTCCCGAGGATACTTACACCCGATGTCCTTTCGATCTATCTGATCAGAACCTCGGCTGTTATTTCAATTGCGAAAATCTTCAGTACTGTTGTTACTCGCTTCTCAGGTCCGCTTGAAAGAATTGAAACCTACGGACACCTCGATGGACCAAGCTCGGAGAACTCTGCTCCTATATGCCCGATCGTGTCCGCAACAAATGTCCGAGGTGATTTCCGAGGCAAGGAATTTTTTCACCCAAATCGTTCAGATCGTTCAAAGTAAAGAAACCCCTGATTGGGATTATGTTACTCGAAACGCAGGCTGGAGAAGTCTATGCGAGGTGGTGATTGGACTAGCTCGTAAGATTGGTGATGTTGAACTGGTCAATCAAACGAGTACATTCTTGTACTCCACATCTGAAACCACTTATGACCAATCTAGGGTCACCCCTGATGGCCAAACGGTAAAGGAAGACATCACATCCGATAAACATGTTGGCTTACTGCTGCTCAAGATTACTGCTACCAGCGCTGCACTTGATCTATACTTGAAGACAACAGAAGGTATGCCAAGTGTCTTGCAGACTAATCCATCAAATCGCTGATACCGTGCATTTGATTACAACCCAGACCAAGCAATCGCGAACCAGTTGGAAAACTCAATATTAACAATTGCAGCTCTGGCCCACCAACGCGCGACGATGTCAACCGATCAGTATCAAAAAATGAACATTCTCATTGATAGATTACGTCGAATATGTGCGCGGGCACTCAGGAAAGCTACGGTTGATGGTGGATTACACCCAACGAGCAATGTTTATGCAGCTTGCGCAAGCGTTTCCCGAGCCATTGTGGATTTATGGGTCAAAGACATCGAACGACCAGCTGACACGACCCACGAGCCTGTTTTGGATCCTGCGATTCTCTCGATGATGATCACTGGTACAACGGAAACCTTAATTACATTGGCTGAAAGCTTGTTTCAAGTAAACAATCCGGATTCACATCACAAAGCTTTGCAAGATTTGAGCCGATGTGCACGATTGATAGAGTTGTTACCAGAACCTGATGTATCGGTGATCAGATGCCTTACTTCGACATATTATAACACTGGTGTAGCATTGTATCAGGTCAACAAGCTTGCAATGGCGATCAATTTTGTTAGACCATCGTGCGAGCTTCCTAGCCGATTCTTCCCAATCCTTCAATTAGACGCCGCCCCACCCACATGGAGTCAGTACGATGATGCGAATGGAGAACTTGAAGTGTTGAAAAGACAGTTACTTAAACGCTGGGAACTTCTCGCCATATGCTACCTCCAGATAGATAGATCGCAAGCTTACCAGGCCTACGTTTCTGCCGTTGCATCTCATTCCGAAGCGGACTTCAGGACTCTTGGAAAGATAGCTGATGATGGCTCCGACCTACAGGGTGCACTTGATGTTCTACCGGGTCTATGTAAACTAGTACAAAGGGTAACCTGGTTGGCCACTTGCGATATGCTTCTACCAATCTCCAAATGTAATCTGCTTGAAAGCCTGGCACCAAAGAAACTATCAAATTCAGAAGTCGGGGCGATTTTAGAGCTGCAGCTACAGTACCTCTACCAAAATACCCGTAAGAGCGAATGTCGTTTGGCTCTGAAAGCAATACTCGACGAGTGTTCTCAGATTTATCAATCGGCGACCCACCCTTTTCGAAGGGCCAGAGCATTGATCCGGCTGATGGAATGGCATGTCAGCATGAGCACAGACTCCAAGTCCAACTCAACTTTCCAAGTCCTAAATCAGCTGTTGGGAGACGTATCAGGCCTACTCGATACATCCAACTCTGGTCTGGATGATTGTTTCAAACCTTACGTTCAACAGTTTTCCGCCTTGGCTTACATGTGGCTGGCAGTAGCCGCTCAGTCAAGAAATTTACTGAATGAATTCTTAGATGCTAGCGAGGCTTCAATAAGCGGTTTTGAGAAGGTCCCATTACCCTCGTCACCTGTGAAGCCCGAGCCCACCTTGAAGAAAGAAGCCGTCCACAAATCAAAGGCTCGAGGAACCGTGAAACCCAACCAGGCTCCACCCCGGACGCGTTCTGCAATAGCCAAACCGAATCAGAATTCAAATCCTCTTGCTACACCGCCAAATAAACGAGTTGTTGATCGAATTGACTCGATGAAGACTCCTGAACAACAGGGAAACTTGAAGTCATCAAAGCTACTGTTCCAGTCAAGCAAGAACAAACTCATTTCCGCAGATGGTTTGATGAACCCACTTCATCTTGACGATCGCGAACGTCTCGTTCAACATCTCATGCTCTTCACGCACATTCTTGGTGCCCACGGCTTGGTTTCTCAAAAACTGCGGCTGTTGCGATTCTTGCAAGATTCGGGTTCCACTCATACTCCAGCAAAAAATAACAAACACTATGAAAGTCAAACTTCGATTATGGTCGAACTAGCTTCAACGTATCTACACTGTGAAGAATATACCAATGCCAGCACGCTACTGTCTGATGCTGAACGATTCACCAAATCTTTGCCTCCTCATACACTTCCAGGGGTTCTAGCCAGCGAGAGTCTCATCTCATTGCTTTACTCTAGATGTTTCTCCGAAGCTGATGACCCGGAAAGTGCAGATTCCGCATTCATCTCGGCCGGTGAAAAATGGGCATTGGCCATGGAGGAGGAGGATGATAATAATCGGAATTCGGATATCTCTTCAGCGCAGAAAGTGATCAGAAGGACTAAATTCCTACGGATGATCGCCCTGGCTTCATTTACTTACTCCCATATCAAAGAAAAGCAAGGCGATTTGGCTCTCGCGATCGAGTACGCCACCCGGACCGTTCGCTTGCTGCACCGGGCTTCATCCAACATTCTTCGGATATCCAATCCCCCACAGCCGACTGCGTCCAAGCCCACCCAAGATGTGTTCAGCAGCAATTCGAAGGCTGATGATTGTGCCCCTCTACCCGAAATAGCCACTGAGGTTAACCCCCACTCTTTCACAGTCGACAGCCATCCAGTCGGCGAGATTACATGGCAAGTTGCCGCAATGATTCCTGCAGCATTGAGTAGGGTCATCGCTCTATACATTAACAGAGGCTCGCCGAGGCTGGCTGAAGCTTATCTGAACCAGTTCTCTACCGTCTCGGATCAGATCGGATCCCACCGACTGAAAGTCCGTGGGATCGTCATCAAAGCTAACATCTTGACGCTCAAAAGACAGTTTGATGACGCCCACGATGCTCTCAAAAATGCTTCGGCGATGATCGAAGATCGGCGTACTTTCGAGCTCGCTGAAATCTATAAGCTCAAGTGCGAGATATCTTACAAGCTGAAATCGTTCAATGAAGCTAAGGCTAATTGCGCTGAGTTGGGACGTGTATTGCAAGAGTTAGACGGTAATTCGACCCCAGTTCCCCGGCCAACAAGGTATGAACTCTCCTGGCTCTTCCTTTCAACTGATCTGGCTTTATCATTTACTTATTGTATAAACCCCCCTCCCTCACATCAGTCCTCTCAACTCTTCGAGAATGTCTTCTCAATCTTCCAGAGGCCTGCTTCTTTCTTCGACCGCGCCTGCTCAATCTTTGCTAGTGGCAGCTCAGACAAATCGCATCCAAGGTTTGTTTTCACCATTCTCGGGCACAAACAAAAGGACACGAAGAAGCTCATGGATTTTACTTGTCCGTAGTGCTGGTTGCCCGCGCGATGCGTCGACCTGAACAGGTGTCTCAGCCTCTTCGACTGCTTGCCAAGATGCCATACAAAATTCGCGAACAGGTTTGATTTATTTTTCTTACTTTCTCTGACTAGGATCTTTTGCCCTAAGCGTCATTGTTCTCATTTAGGTGTTCGAGACGACGTTGTTGGCGATGCTTGGATTGGATGACGTTCTGCAAAACTTCAGAGTAGACCCTTTGTTGGGAGTGTTATCGGAAGCCAGTAAGAGATTCCGCTGATTATTGTGGTCATCACCTCGTTTTGAAAACGATACCGTAAATTGTTCACCCTCTGAAACCGTTTTCTTAGTGATTGTGATCCCCTCGACGCAAAGTCACCCGGATCAATGCAAGAATTTTCAGGACCAGTTTCCCCAACTCTCGCGTTCCTTAACAGCGATGGAAGAAGCCTTGACTAAGCGGACGATAGGATGCGCCGACATCCCTAATTTATACGAGACCATTCACGTCTTGATCACGCTCAAGTTCGTCAAGAGTATCCTTCAACGAGAGCGGAAAAACGTGGCTGGCGAGGTCGCAGCTCTCCTGGGTGAGTCGCAAAACCCACCTCAAACCAAATATTTGCTTACTATTAAAGAGCTCATCCATTTATTCACGGCCCCCTTGATGCAGATTTTGTGTGCAGTCTGACTATCCGACGAGAAATGGTGGAATGCATTCAAGCAAAATCCCGAGTGGTCGGACCTGGTGATGATACCAGTTGGCCATCCGAAGTTGAAGTCAAAGAGTCACTACTTGCCGGAGACGAAATGCGAATTGCCTCGATCTCGGGGGCCGATTTGAGCCGATGGCAAGACGTGGGCTCTCATCACAGGCATGATATCAGGTCGCCTGCGACGTATCGTCCCCTTCAAGGTCTCCCTACCGGATGGCACGTGGTGTCGATACACTTAGCCTTCGAAGAAGATAGTCTATTCATCATCCAGCACAACAAGACGTGCAATCCGTTGGGTGTCAAGTTGCCACTGGATCGGTTCAATCGGAGAGAAGGGGAAGATGAGCTGTTCACGTTGAAGGTGGCTCTGGAAGAACTGCAGGCAATCGTCAGTAAGAGTAATGCGGCCACTCAGCGCGCCCGTCACGTCACTGGCCGTCAAGATAAGATCTCCTGGTGGCAAGAACGCAAAGATTTGGACACCAGGATGCGGAATCTTGTCGAAAGAATTGAGAATGATTGGCTGGGAGCCTGTAAAGTAAGTCCAGAAAAACCCCCTCCTCTCTCTCACCCTCTACCTTTTTTCAGCTTATGACTAACTTTTTCTTCTTCTTTGCATACAGGGACTATTGCGTCCCAGTAATAAGGTGAATGAAATGGCTACCTTGCAAGCAGCTTTGGAGAACCTCTTCCGACATCATCTGATTTGCTCCCAAGACAAAACGGTTTATAATCGTCCGTTGGATCAACATATCATCAGTTGCTTTGTATCTTTGCCCATCAACTGTCGCGATGAAGACTTGGAAGACCTCATCCAATTTGTTGTCGATTCTTACCAAATTCATGAGGCTCCTGTTGTGGGAGATGAAGTAGATGTTGATCAAGCAAGTTTCTTTTTTGGCTTTTTTGGACCTGTCATCAACCATCATCATTTTTATTTACTTACTAATCTTCTGATTCCAAAAAACCTTTTGATCTCTGCTATGTGGTACATAGGTCGTATGTGAGCTGCGAAACCTTCAGAAGGAGTTTTTGGTTGCTTATTCAGAAGAAGAGAGTTCGCCGCAACACTTGTTCCTGATCTTGGACAAGCATCTGCACGGATTTCCGTGGGAGGTTCTACCGATTTTGATGGGCCATTCAGTGAGCAGGATCCCTTCGTTAAGCTTCCTGCGCGATCGTCTAGGCGATGATCAACAGCGGGCCGACCTGGCGCCCTTATCGGTCGACCCGACCCGGACCTCATACATCTTGAATCCGAGCGGCGATTTGACGAGCACTCAGCTCAAGTTCGAAAGCTGGCTGGAAAGCCGGCCGTCCTGGAGCGGAATCAAAGCCCGGCCTCCGAGCAGTGAGGAGGTCAAACAAGCTCTCCTTTCGGCTGATTTGATGCTGTGGGTTTATATCAATCATCTCCTCTATCTATTGCCATTTCCAGTCTTACAGCAGCCTTACTGATCACATGGACTTGGAATCACGCAGTTACTTTGGACATGGGGGAGCAGAGCAATACGTTCGTTCGCAGAGTATCAAACAGCTTCCACGCTGTGCAGTGACGATGTTGTGGGGCTGCTCGTCCGGAATGCTTCACGATCAAGGGGATTTTGATCCGACGGGGACGCCCTACGCCTACATGCTGGCCGGATGGTGAGAAACAGATACTTTTTTTTCATTTGTTTATGGATGGGTTGGAATCGCTGCCCTGGGCTTCTTTCATTGACAGTCACTTTTTTTTTGCCCCGTTTGATCGCAGTCCCGCATTGCTCGCTAATTTGTGGGACGTGACCGATAAGGACATCGACAAATTGGCGCTCGATCTGTTCGTGAAAACTGGCCTCCAGTCCGATCAACAAGGTCCGGATGGATCCTCTTCGCCAATGACGCTGACGGGCGCACTAGCTTCAGCACGGTCGAGTTGTCAACTCAAGTATCTCAACGGTACGGTCCTCTTCATTTCTTATTTTTTTCAACTCATCACTTTTAGATGTGAAGTTCAACTGATTCTACGTGTGCTTTTCTCATAAAACATGTAACCTGTAGGTGCTGCGCCCATCATTTATGGCATCCCAGTCACGTTCCAAGTCAGAAAACCAGAAGCCCATCTAGACCTATCTCGAAGTCCCTAACTTGATCTCCCCAGTACACCTGGCCTGTGTCAATATATACCTCTGCTACCAATCCATCTTTTTGTTTGCATGCAGCATCTACATCTAGCTGGCTTTTCCAATTTGATTATATATATTTTTTGGCTTATCTTTGACTATAGACGTAGCATTCTGTCCATAGATCACTCTGTCGTACACCCCCTCCCTCCCTGCTTGCTTTTTCTTTTTCTTTTCTTCATTTTTATTGTCATCTACTTCTTTGTCTCTTTTTATGTATACTCAGAAACAAGGGGTTATTATAATGAGAAACAATACAGACACCCAACTTTTGTGAACACACACTTGAAATTTGATGTAGCTTGTAAAACCATCCACCTATTCTTTCTTTGATCATTGGGGAGCAATGAAAGTACATATCCACCAAAAAAAGAAAACACAGGTTCATAACTATGTGTCTGGAACTCTCACCTCTGTTAATTCTAAGGATACTCTGTCACAACAGGTGTGCTGCTGGAGCTCCGAATCAGTCCCACAAATTTGGTTTGGGGTGCAGTCACTGCAACTGCTCAAGTTTGGATGGTGATTGTGCATTGAGGCTATGGATGTAGTCTCAAAGAAAATTTGGATGTTCTGCAAACAAAAAACGGGCCAAGGCCATCTCCAACTGGGGAAGTTAACTGGGCAAGTAAACCCAATTGACCTCCCCAAACCCAGAATCCACCTACCACCAGGGGTCCACAGCCCCTTGACAGAAAAAATGGAACCCTTAAATTGGGGTCTAGAGGGCAAAACAATAGACTTGAATTTATGCTGCCTGGTGAAACTGTGAAAAATGAGTTCTCAAGAATGATCCTGACAAATTGGACAAGAAAATGGTTTGTGAAAACTTTGTATATTTTTCCTCATTTTCTGATTTTTATTATATTTTTTTTAGGGGATTAATAAACGTACCCCCCTTTTCTGCTATCCACACCTGGTTTTTCACACCTGGTTTTCTGCTTCTACACCCGGTTTTCCCCAGCCTTTTTAATTCATTTTTTGGCAATTCTGAATATGATAAAAACATTCTAAAATTGATCATTCTTTTTGGGTAATCATTTTTTAAAGTAGCTCAAAAAATCAGGATCAACACAATTGCATGTGAAAAGAATGATTATAAATGAGAAATTGTGAAAAATTAATGATCAAAATTTTAGAGAGTAGAAGAAGTTGGATTGAGATTGGAATTGAATTGGATTTCAAAGCCTGATTGCAGGGTTGGTCTGGTGGATGACATAATCCAAGCATGCTTACAGAAGCAGTTGATCACTTTTTTTCACTTATAATCACTCTTCTCACATGCAATTGTGTTGATCCTGGTTTTTTGAGCCACTTTGAAAAATGATTGAAAAATATCAAAAAAAAATAAGAAAATGAGGAAAAATGTACAAAATTTTTACAGAACATTTTCCTGTTGAATTTTTCAGAATCATTCTTTGAAACTCATTTTTGACAAGATCAATCTTGTTGAGATTCTAATCCGCCCCTCCCTATCAATCACTGCTTCCATCACCTGATAGGGTGTCAGGCAACATATAACTTCCTCAAAGGACCTCTCCGAGTGACATGGGAGAGGTCCTTCAAGGATGGTGTACACCCATTTTCCAACATCTCAAACTTGTAAAACATGTGGATGTTTGCCCATGCGCCCTCAAACCAATCAAAGTTCAACTTCAAAAAAAAAAAAAAACATTGATCACTTCTCAATCACCACAACAAGGCACAATTGGTAGGGTTAGGGATAGAGATTAGGGTTAGGGGTTAGGGTTAGGGCTAGGGTTAGGGATAGGGTCAGGGATAGGAGTTAGGGAAGTGTTTTTTTTTAAAAAGTGTCAGTTGTTGGGGTGCTGGGGGGAGATGTTGCAAAATGGCTGTACAGTGGGTAGACAGTGAAAAGTGGCAGCTTATTTTGGATTCCAGAGCTCTGAAACACAAACTTGAAGTCATGAGACTTGGTCAGGTGGTGCATAATAGCTCCCAAAAAATTAATATGAAATAATAAAAGCAAAAAATAAAGTTTGAAAATTTGTGAAAAATAAAAAATAAACTCAATTTTTTTCAAAAGCTTTGATATTCATTTTGGTGGAGTGGGAGTGCTGAGAGAAAGAAAGAATGGAACATGGGAAGAATGATTATAAATGAAAAAAATTGGAACTAAAAAAGGTTTAGCCAGGTTGGTGGTCCAGATTGGAGCCAAAACAGTAAATTCTAGTGCTTTGCTGCAATGTGGGCTGGTGAATGCCCCACTCAACAGCTGTTTGAAGCCATCTGAAAACCAGTTTTTCCAAAATTTTCATTTATAATCATTCTTCTCATTTCCCAATCTTTCTTTCTCTCAGCACACCCACTCCCCCAAAATGAATATCAAAGCTTTTGAAAAAATCAATTTTATTTTTTATTTTTCACAAATTTTGGAACTTAATTTTTTGCTTTTATTATTTCACATTCATTTTTTGGGACCTATTATGCACCACCTGACCAAGTCTCATGATTTCAAATTTGTGTTTTTGAGCTCTGGAATCCAAAATAAGCAGCCACTTTTCACTGTCTAGGCACTGTACACTATCCTTTAAGGTCCTCTCCCATTTCACTTGGAGAGGTCCTTTGAGGAAGATATATGTCGGCTCATTGGGTGGCTTGCATCCCCAAATCTAGCTTTCACATACAACACATTCAACACCCTGCGGTAAGGAATGTGAGATTGGACCTGTTGCTAGATACCTGGCACCACCTGGCAGGTATCCTTATTACCTGCTGAATGGTGTCTGATTTGGTGTAAAGCCCCTGAGGAAATCAGGAGAGGTACTGCTCCAGATGCTCTGCATAGGGAGGGGTTTGGAAAGGGGCCACCACTGCCTCCCGGACCCTGTTCCATCCCCGTTACCAATCAAAAGTACCACCAGTACCCTCCAGCAATGGTGAAACCAATATTAGGGGGTATCAAATATAGCCAAATCCACCATTATTTAATTGACTGGTTTGAAAAAACCAACCTTTTCCCAACATGCTGGTCCTTCATTTAACCCCTTTAGGGGCCCATTGAGGCAAAAAAAGGTTTTGGGAAAAGTGACTGGTTTCTAATGGTGGATTTCCTATATTTGATACCCCCTATTAGCCGGGTATTGGTATTAGGGTGGTATTGCCTTAGAATAACACCCAATATTTGGGCCCAGTATAGTATTGGACCCCCCGGCACAATAATTTTTATTGATGGGCACATGTATTGGGCAGCCAATACAATAAACTTGATTCATCATGGATGTCTTGGTCGGGCCAATATAGAGATGGTCTCAGGGTATCCGTTGCAGATACCCGTTATCTGCTGGCAGATACCCGCCAGAGGATTTGAATTCGGGTGTGTATGCCCCATTCTCCTCGGAATCCTGGCAGGTATACAGGTATCTCCAGGGATACCTGTTGGAAGGACCCTCTCAATCTCGAGACCTTGTACAGTTTCAAGGCCAAGAGGGGTTCCTCTCGTCCTGGAGACTGTACCGTCTCTAGGTTGGTCAGGGCGGGTTAGCTGTGGTATTCAAATCAATACCGTTGTAAAAGACACGGGTGGCCAAGTGGGACAGAATGTTCCAATGATAAAATCATACCTTTTACCGGATCTTAGGGGAAGGCTGATCAATATGAGGATGGGAAAAAGGAACAAAGATGTGGTTGATCATGAGTAAGAGTTAAGACAGCTTTAGGAGCACACACAAGATGAGTGATTGAATGAGGAATAACCGTGGGATTGATGGCTTGATGCCGGCTCTTCTAATGCGCACAAGTTTACTTTGACCGTGTATGTTCTGATTGCTAGATGGCAAGATATGAAGAATTTCACTTTTCTGAAGTCTTGGTCATCTCTTACTTCTGCTGGCTTCAAATCTGGGTTGATGCAAGCAATCACATGTTTAAGTTTGCCCATCGTGAAGCTTGAGTTTTGCCAAGATTTTCAAGACTAGTTTCAACTTCAAAATGGGTGTATTGTTGCTATGAGCGGATTGGCCAAGAAGTGCTTTGGTCAGGTAAGAGAATTAACCTGGAGTCTTAGGCTAGACAATTGGTTGGGTTGCAGTTGATGCAGTAGCTGCTTTTGTATCTTCCGGTCAATGAGGTATAACATCCTCATTGGCCGGAAGGGATTCCTTTGGGTCAATGAGGTATAACAACCTCATTGATTGGAAGGAATTCCTTCCAATCTGAGGTTGTTATAAACCTCATTGATTGGAAGGAATTCCTTCCAATCTGAGGTTGTTATAAACCTCATTGATTGGAAGGAATTCCTTCCAATCTGAGGTTGTTATAAACCTCATTGATTGGAAGGAATTCCTTCTAATCTGAGGTTGTTATAAACCTCATTGATTG